CCCCAAAACCCCAAAACCCCTGTTTTAAATCTTTTGACTATTAAATGGCACTGATTAATAACTTAAATTAAACATTAAATAATCTACTTCACTAAATCATTTGATTTGCTCAATCTTTATATCTGCTTATCGCTTCATATATATTATCTTTATCATAAATATTTATCCTCACTGCTCGTTTTCATCAAAGAGAATAGTCTGTTCATCCTCGAGCATAGAGTCACCAAGGAGCTAAAGCCCACTTTTAGTACTGAAATTACCCGGCCAATACTGACTTGCTGAGATTTCCTTCGGTAGTAAGCCAAGACATTTATAGGCACTGGCAACTAACTCAGAGCAGAAGTAACTCTTGTCGTCTGTTATGTTCTCAGAATCCTATTGATACTTCTTTCTGAATATCTTTGCTGGGTTCAGGCGATACTTCATGCCAATCACAGTCCTTATGAACTGCTCCAGTTTCTGCATGTTTTCAAGTGTACGATTATGTCTCAATTTTCTAAAGCAAAGCTTAGTATAAAGTTTGTTCCAGCCATTTTTAAGGAACAAGTCCCAGTCTAATACAGCAACTCCCTATTAAACAAGATTTAATTAGTAAATGCTCTTACTGTTTAGCCAGTTGACTCGAACATGACTAGTTTCCCATTGCTGTAGCGGAGTAGCATAGCTACATGATCATAGTCACTCATTGTTAGGGCTCTTTGAACTCTGGTTACAAAAGATGAGCCGGTGAACAGCATAATATCACCTGTGTCAGCTAGTTTTCTGAAATCTTGAAGTGTTATTACATCAGACTATTAGATTATATTATGACATAGATAAAACTTACCTTCCAGAATTTTTAACCAAACAGTTTAGGTTGATTTGTTATAGTGAAACTTCTGCTTGCATGCCAGTTTGCGTAGAGTGCCTGGGTCCATTGTCTCAAAGCCACACTGCTTTGGACCATAAACAAGAATTACTTATTGCTTCCCATGACTTCAATCCTAAACTTACGAGGCTCGTAGTACTTGTTTTTATCAATTTTGTTGGTAGGTGATTCGTTTTCTGACTCATTTCTGTTAGAGCCATCATCTATCATTACTACACATTGGATTCTGTCAAAATCAAAGACTCCTGCCAGGTCTCGCATCTCTCTGTCTCTATAGTACTTGAACTTCTTGTTCCTAACTATTCCGAATCGCTTTTTGTATCCTCCCTTGATGCTCTTTGCCTTCCTAGGATTCTCTATTTTCTTGTAGACTACACCTTTGATAGTGGCTAATGAGGCAGCTAGCTTTTCCTCCTACTCAATGATGGTGCAGTTATCATAACTGGCTTCATCATCTTCATCTCCCTCATTACTATTCTCATAGATATTGTTGCAGTTACTTTTATAACTGCGGTCGTCATCTAAGATATCATCATTCAGATCTTATTCATATTTTTCCCTAGGAGAGGTGACAGTCTATTGCTTTACGAATGAGCGCTTGACTATCTAGGTACGCACTGGCTCTATTTGGTCATTGCTGAAAGATGGCAAACTATTACGCTTACTCTCTTCAATCCGAATTATTGAAGTCTTTGACATCAATTTATGCTTCACTTCTTTTATTCTTTAGTGAATCTCATTCATATTATTCTGAATGCTAGTTGATCCTGAATGTAGTTTATTTGGTGTGGTTGTTCTTTGCTTGTTCTTTTCATTGCTACTTTTCCCACTTTTGTTATTCACTATTTTATGGTTTTCAGCATTGTCTGCTCTTTGAGTCTTAATTACTTGACTAATCTCTCTTGGTGCCAATTGCTCCTGTTATACCAAATGATCTATCTAGGCCACTGTGCATAAACTTGCATTCTAAGACTTGGGAGTGTTATTAACTTTGCTAGTTCCGTTGACATTCAAAGTTTACTTAAAACCTTAGCCTGCACTGAATCTATGCTCTGTAATGAAAGACTTATTTGATGGAGTTTGGCTCTCAGTCAAGTTTTTATATTTGAAACGCTTAACCAAGACCTTCTTTTAAGATGATGTCTAGCCCTGTGGAGTAGTTGCCATTATCTGATAAGGTGATTCTAATTGAAGCTGATTGTCTGTCAGTATTGTGCATAGCTTATTATTGGTTGGCTCAGTTACTAAGGCACTTTAAGAGAAAAGTGTGTTCTTTTTGGCAGCACCAATAGTTTATATTAAGCTGTACTCATTACTAATCTGCTAAACTTCCACTTGCTATACAGGATGCTCAAATCTTCTTGAATCTCCTCTTTGTACCAAGGCGATATCACATTTAAGATCTTCTAATTCAAGTCCTGGCCCTCTGACGTCAACCACTTCTTATTACTGCACATTTTTCTTACTCTCACTCTTGAGTAAATTTTTCTTGCTTTAGTTTTACATAAGCTGGCACTTTTCCTCATATTTCTGGAACTGTGTTTGACTGCTTTACTGTGATATAATCCTAAGCTGATTATCTACTTAATCTTCCTCGCCACCGTCTGAGTCAATCTTATAAGAGGGCTTGCTCGGTATCTTCTTCAAATTTTTGGTGCTACCTCTTTGATTCGTTAATGAAACATTAGATGCTGAATTAGAAATAGCTGCCTGTATTTTTTAATGAATCAACTTAGGGTCTGGACTGTCGCCTAGGTCTATTTTAATTGGCTTGGGGTTCCTTTTTGGTAGTATAGTCTTTTTTAAAGGTTAAGCAGCTTTTTAATTAATAATTTTTTTACTACTGCTTTACTTAATCAACTCCTGAGTAGAAGCAGTTTAAGTTAAATCATTCATTAAATTACTGTCCTAATCTTAATTCTTTGAGTTATCAGTGTTGCTATTCCTAAAAGCATGCATATTAATGTTATCGTCAGACATGCTATTGATGCTTCATTGTGTCACCAGTTTCTTGTGAGTCAATTGATTAATAAAGGTCTGCTAGAGACTATCATTAATGATGACTTCATTAATGATAACATTTGATATGATTTGCACTCCCTATTGCTAATCCTTATGTTTATTTGGGATGCGTATACGCACCTTCTATCTTTGGGAATTATTTGATGTGTTACTGTTATTACTAATGATAGACTTGCCACGATGGCCACTATTGTCTGCGTGATGATCATATCTCGTATTGGCAGAATGATTCTAGTGCTAATGGGGAGGATGTGGATTCGGTGACTGGCTGGCGCTATAGTTGTTATTATTGTTATTTGAACTTCCATTTAAACTATTAGCTCCAGGTGTTTACTTCTACTAATCTGTTATTAGTGCAGTAGCGCTATTAGGTCGATTTGTCTTATCACCTTATGCAGCCATCTATGCATATTGACTAATCTTGCTCATCTATCCATAAGTATTTGGGTTTAGGACTGGCTCATGCTTGCCTTTTGTAATTGGCTTGTTATTGTTGTTAGCGATGGGATTTCTGATGTTTGTGTTAAAAATGTCTTGCTTTCTCTGCTAAACTAGACGACTAGAGAGAATCTTAGTAGAACTTTAGCTGCTCTAAATCTAAGGCTATTAATGAACTGCTTGTTTGCTGGATCCTTGGGGGTAATTAAAACCATATTCCTGAGCAACAAGAGCTCGCTACTTATTATTCTACTAATGCTGTTCTCCAGATCGAACTTTCATTAATAAAATTTATAAATATTATTTTTGTTTAATTTCAAATTATTTTTATAAGTTATTTCATACTCACGGGGTTTTGGGGTTTTGGGGTTTTGGGGTTTTGGGG